AGGCCGTTCGCCTGCAGAGTTGAAGCGACCTAATATTGTACCAGATCGGTACAATGGCAAGACTGTATGGAGGGATTTTTGGCAGCATTTTGAAGCGTGCAAACTCGCTAACGGGTGGACGGACGAACAAGCTAAAGTCTTCTTGGCTGCGAGCTTGCAGGGGATAGCGGTGAAGGTGCTATCAAACAGTCCGGATGGTAGTCAAACGATGACGTATGAAGAATTAAAAGACAGGCTTGAAAGGAGATTCGGACCGGGCCAATTGTCGGAAAACCACTTGATTGAGCTGCGTTGCAGACGACAGGGACCAAAGGAAACACTGAGGGAGCTAGGTCAGTCAATCAGGGAGTTGGCCACGCTGGCATATCCTGAGATAGCAGACGAAGGGAAGGATCGCCTAGCGAGAGGTCACTTTTCGGACGCGATAGAGGACCAGGCCATCCGTGAAGGAATCTTCAGGACACAGCCAAAGACACTCGATGAGGCTATAAGGGCAACAATGGCGACAGAGAGTTTCCTCAAGGTGGAACAACAGAGGCCCAGTCGCAACCCAAAGCAAGCACGAGTACTAGAGGGACAAAATGACCCTTCGTTGGAAAAGCTGGAAGATTTTGTAAGAAATAGCCAGAAACGGATGGCAGAGGCCATACAAAGAGCTCAAGAAGAGACAAAAGCTTGGGTGGCTAACCTGGTGCAAGGGAGACCTACAGGTGCAGGGAACGACAAGCCAAACATGACAGAAGGCGTTCCGAGTACCTCCTACAGGAGACGACCTAGAGAGGACATTGTGTGCTTCAGGTACGACAGGAAAGGACATTTCGCTCGTGACTGTAAATGGCCGCCAGCAAAGAGACACGGGTCGGGAAACGGATCGCAGCTGACCCAAGGGCCCGAGGGAAAGCTGGGAGAAGAGGGCCACAAGACCGTCGTCCACGAGACAAACCAGTAGACAAGGGTCATGTAATTACCATTTCAATTGCAACAGCAGAAAGAGTGAAAAGGGGCATGTTTGTACCAGCAGTGGTGAGGGGACAGCAGGCGAAGCTTCTGGTGGACACCGGGGCAACAGACACGTTTCTGTCATCTACTCTCTACCACAAGATCTCACCTGAGAATAGGCCTCATCTTTCTAATGAGGGTTCGTGCATTAAAAATGCTGATGGTTCGCGGATAGTGACGTTAGGTAGCGCCTGGGTGGAGTTACAGGTGGGAAGAACGACACATCCAGTGTACGCGACCTTCGGAAATTTACACTCTATGGATGGAATCCTGGGTATGGATTTTGTGTACCCAACATGCGGGTCACTCAACTTTAGGACACTTGAGCCCACAGTAAATGGAGAACGGGTGAAGTGCAGCGATGAGTACGCAGGAGAAGCCGGGGGAAGGAACCTATACAGGCCAGACCATAAGGGTTACCCAAGCGTTGAACAGAATGCGTGTGTGGACATGCTACGGAATGCCCGAGCCAGTTCTTTAACTAGCCATGAGAAACTAACGAGATTCATTTCTTTTCATCATTGTCAGGAGGAAAACATGGGTCGAGACTCACCAGCGAAGAGGACTCCACTGGACCTAGACGAGGCGAAGACAATAGACTGTCCGAGATGCCACAGTGTGTTTCTACATCGGAGGAGTCTGGACCGACATCTGACAGTGGAGCATGGGCCACGAGTGTTTTATTGGTGCCGGCAGTGTTCACACAAGAACAATCGGCGGGATAATCTGCTGAATCATTATAAAGATTGTCATCCGTCCTGCCTGGCTGAGGTGAATGGGATCAAGGCTGAGTCCTATGAGGACAGGGAGCGTGAGGCGCGTACCAGGAGGGAGGCAGAAAGGCATCGCCTAGGAGGCAAAAAGTCACCTAAAGGTAAATGGGGTGAACCAGGTTCCCAACCAGAGGTCAAGTCGCGTTCTGCTGGACGGAGCGAGAGTGGACCTACTGCCGCTACAAAGAAGCGTAGCCGGGACAAGAAAGATGAGAAAGAAGTGACTAGGAAGCGTCCCAAAGAGAAGAAGGTGCCATCAACAGTTTCACGTGCACCTGAGGAGGAGGAGGTACGAAGCAGTACCAGTGTTCGCGATGAGCCTGATGGGCCAAGGCCGAGCTCTACTCTTCAGACGCCGTCGGCTTTAAACGTAGCACCAGAGTTGGGGGCGAAAGGAGAAGGAAAGGGGCCGGAAGTAGTTGAAGTACCAGATGTTGCTGTGGAGTTGGAAATAGCAGCAATCATAGATGACCGCGGGAGTGGAGAGCTCCCAGAGATCACACTGTCGCCTACCCCTCCGCTGATGATGGATTTAGAGGAGCCCCACAGCCAAGAGGAGCCAGGCATGCCGCCGAGAGGGAAGCCGCGAGCGATGATAGAGTTGATGAGGGATAAGGCCAAACGACGCGATGGTCAGGAAACCACCGCTAAGGGGGGAGAGAACATTCCAATCATGTCAACACCACTGCACCTAGACAGGCTGCTACCGGGACAGGCAGTCCGGATCAAGGAGGTTAAGGAATCCTACCTGTACAGAGATGGAGACAAGACACTCCAAGGCTCGACGACACTTGAGTATGATGTCGTTTACTTGAGACACCTAAATGCAAAGAGGTCGACAGAGCAACAAACCTCACCAAGTCCAACATCACAGGGAGAAGGTCGCCTATGCAGGTTGATGAAGACCGATGGTGATTCAGTCGGCACACCTTATTCGGATGAGGATCTCATCGGTGCCATGATGAGTAGAGTCAACCGCGTGTTGGAGACTACTACACGACAGGTGTACCATGAAGGCAACAAAGTGACCAAGGACAAACTACAGCGCACCTACGACGTGGACTTCCTGGCTGGAGTTGCACAGGATCCTTAGAAGCTATAAGGATAACGTCTACCTAAAGAGGCTTTGTTGAACTGTTTGTTGAACTGTTGAGGATCTTTTTTGTTAACATTTGTTACACACTTGTTCAAGTTTGTAATAGAAGAGGCATTTTGAACTGTTTTATATAAAGTTTCGTTTTGAAAAAGTTTTGTTTTCTTGTAAACTAAAGGAGAGGTTTGTATAAGGACCTAGGTAGGTCAAACCATCATTTTGTATAAAGACCTAAAGTAGGTCGAACCATTATTTTGTATAAGGACCTGAGTAGGTCAGCAAATTATTTTGTACAAGGATTCCAGATGAGACACTTTTTGACTGTTATTAAGTTAAGCTTTATTTAAGTTAGCCAAAGGTGGCAGAGCACCTTGTTAGGAGTTATAGTTTTTATAACTGTTCCTTATTGTTATCAGTTTTTAAGGTCAAGGGACTGACCAAACCTGGGGCGCGGCTGTATAGCGGAACAGTTTATATTGGCGCGCTAGGTTCACCGTAGTTTAGTTGGTTGGTACACGGACTTCTGTCCGTTGTACAGTGCGCGAGTAGCGTGGCTGGTTGGTACCCAGCGCGGGTATATAAGCGCGTGTCGCGCGCGCACTCACTCTCTTCCATTTCACTCGTCCATGGATTGCACTCTTCCATTGCACTGCTCACGTTGTGTGCTTTAGCTGTTAATTGTGGCGCGAAGCGTAGCACAGTTGCCGCTCAGAGACTTGGAGTTGCTGAAGCGTGTGTAGTGCAGCTGTGGTCAGTCTTTCACTCAGAAAGAGCACTGGTTTAGTTCCGGTTAGTGCAGGGATTAGAAAATCTGGTTGGTACGGGAAGCATTCCAGTTCTTGACGATTATTGGAAAGGGGCCAATTCTTACAATTGAGCAGGACACACCTAACTAGGACACACCTTAGTAGGACGCACCTAAGTAGGGCGCATCTTATTGGGTCTCCAAGTAGTTATAATAAAGCAGTGAAGCCCTAAATACCCGAGTGTCTGATCTATTCATTGGACGTTAACCCTTCCCCGAGTGTGGTCGTGAGGTTTGCGAGAAAGCGCGAGTGAGTGTGTTCCCTGAGCGCCTGGCTGTAGACTGCCCCAAAACGGACCTGTTCCCCTGGCCTTCCCCAATACTGCACAATATGCAGTACATTTTCATGTACGTGTGTAGGACTATGCTGCGCATGCTGTACACAATACGTTCATGGGATGCAATGCTGGGCCTGGTGTGGGGCGCGACCGGCTCTGCAAGTGCTCGATTGGCATCGGTTGCGGCTGTCAGCTGTGGCGACGGGCGAGAAAACATATCGACATTTAAAAAAAAAAGCGTACGGCGGCCATTAACCCCCCCCCCTAGCGTACGGTCTGTACGCTCGTAAAAATGTTGATAATTGTGAACGGCCCCTTAAAACAGGCTTTATAGTTAAGTAAATACATGTACTAACAGTATGGTAAAGTTTTAGCTGATTTTTTTGTCTGCAATTACATGTGAAGAGTGAAGACAATAATCAATGCATTACACGTGATTTTTTTTTATATGGTTGTTTTATAGTTCGCATATCATTTTTTTTCGTGGATAAACAGACACACAAAATTGAATAATAGATTAAACATCTTAAATTTGACTCAATAGACCATATGTAACACATTTCTTTAGGTTTACATGTATGTCGTGAAAAAAGTTTTTAAGAGCACATATTTTACTTGATTAACATGTGAAACAAAAATATCTAAGGCCTAAATTGTCTAAACACGAAACTTGCCCATTCTATTATTGTAATATGAAAAAGTGTTATTTTTTTCCATTTTGTTTGTATGTTTGAGTGGGTGGTTTATATTCTTACGTTAAGAGTAAGACTTTCTTTGGTCTAGACTGTGGTCAGTCGATTTAACCCATTTTTTATTTTTTTTTCCTCTTTACTAAAAGTGCCGGTTTGTATGGTCTAGACTTTGGCTAGGTGTTTTTAACCCTAATTTATCTTATCTTTATTTTAATCTTTCTAATATTTTCCAATTTATTATAAATTATCTAAAAATGTATAACTGGGAAAGAATGTAGTAGCCTGCTTCCCAAATCTATGAACAGTCATGAAAGTATTCATTGTTTTCTTCCAAAATTGAAAAATATATTTTCAGTCCAATATTCTCAGATTCGGACCCTCATTTTCATTTGGATGAAAATATGATTACAGAACATGTACTTAAGTTGAGAAACACACAACATACCATGTTTATAATGATGGATTTCAATAAATAACAAGTTTTTGTAGGCTTCTGTTCTGAGAAAAAGCATGTTTTGACTGATCTTGACAGTTTCGGTAAACATGAGTTTGAGTTGCAATAAAATGTCAGTTTTTTCCCCCCAGGAATTCTGAAAAGATAACGCCAGGATGAAACACTGCAGTGCTTCCTTGGAGATATTGCCTGGGTTCTCAAAAAGAGTAAGTTTTTTTGGTCTCAATTAATTTGATTTTCACAAGAATTAACCAGTAGTTTCTTAGTTGCAAAAGATTTGTCAATTTAGGCACACAACTTTCAATTATAATGTGTGTTTATACTCAAAATGTACACACTTAGAAATGTACACACTTGAATTGTTAGTATGGATATGTAGACCAAACGTGCAAGGAAGGGTTTGTTGCAGGGATTGCAGCATGTAACAGTATTGGAGCACCTATCGTTTTGACAAAATTTACATTTTCACACAATTTAATTGTTCCTGGACAGATCTTGTAGAGGCACCAGAGGACACTCTGACTACAGACTACAGTGGAACTATTGTCCCAGCAAAACAGAGAAAGCCCAGTGGACACCTCAGACACGACAGGGAATACTCAAGTCAAGACCGCAGTTGATCCAACCGCACAGCATAACAGAGAAGGCCCAGATGACATTTCAGAGACGTCAGAGGACACTCCAGTCAAGACTGCAGTTGATCCTCCTCACAGCGTGACAGAAAAAGCCCAGATGACATCTCAGAGAAGTCAGAGGACACTCCAGTCAATACTGCAGTTGAATCATCCTCACACTCACAGCACGACAGAGAAAGCCCAGGTGACATCTCAGAGATATCAGAGGACACTCCAGTCAAGACCACAGTTGATTCAACCACACAGCATGACAGAGAAGGCCCAGATGACATCTCAGAGACGTCAGAGGACACTCCAGTCAATACTGCAGTTGAATCGCCCTCACAGCCGGTCAGAGAAAGCCCAGACAACATCTCAGAGACGTCAGAGGACACTCCAGTCAAGACTGCAGTTGAATCCTCCTCACAGCGTGACAAAGAAAGCCCAGATGACATCTCAGAGAAGTCAGAGGACACTCCAGTCAATACTGCAGTTGAATCATCCTCACACTCACAGCACGACAGAGAAAGCCCAGGTGACATCTCAGAGATATCAGAGGACACTCCAGTCAAGACCACAGTTGATCCAGCCCCACATCATGACAGAGAAGGCCCAGACAACATGTCAGAGACGTCAGAGGACTCTCCAGTCAAGACTGCAGTTGAATCGTCCTCCCAGCCTGACGGAGAAAGCCCACACAACATTTTAGAGATGTCAGAGGATACTCCAGTCAAGACTGCAGTTGATCCAACCACACAGCATGACAGAGAAAGCCCAGATGACATCTCAGAGACGTCAGAGGACACTCCAGTCAAGACTGCAGTTGATCCAACCACACAGCATGACAGAGAAAGCCCAGATGACATGTCAGAGACGTCAGAGGACACTCCAGTCAAGACATCAAGAGAAGAAATTGAATTTGTTCCTTCATCACCTGTTGCCTCCGAATCAAGTGGCAGCATTACTTTTCCAATGCACAATCACTGGAGAAAGTCTCTTGTGGGTTCCAAGGAAGGTGTACGTTTGCCAGTTGATGGGGAAGTTAATGATTCTGAGTGGGATTCTGATGATGATTATGACCCCTCCTCTGCAACAAGTGATGATGACTCGGATAGTGAAGTATCAATTCCTGAAGAAAACCAATACAACACAACTGAAGATAAAAACGCCTCGGATCTCTCAGAAGAAGACGAAATCCTACGAGATATAAATGTTCCGGCAATTCATCTCAGAAAAGTCAAAACATCAATGACAACATCTTTGGGCAAAAGAAAAAAAAAGGATCGTGTTCAAAACAGTGTTCATGCGTGTCTGTACTGTGGTAAAATTGTGCAGCACATTCCTTCTCACAGGTCTAAGCATGCAAATGAAAAGGAAGTAAAAGAAATCATTAACCACTGGCAGCCTCAAATGACATGCTAAGGGCCAGAGGAGATCATAGGCACTATCTGAAAGTGGTTGGCGAGAAGGAAGGTGAACTGCTGCTTTATCGTAGACCCAAAGACAACTTTGACCATACAAATTATGGGCCTTGCCAAAAGTGCCTTGACTGGATGCTACTTCGATCATTACCTAAGTACCAGAAAACCTGCCCTGGTTACAAGTTTGACAGAGAGAGTAGTGACATTCCAAGGAAACGTGAACTGCTGTTTCAAAGTGACATTCTTGCTGAGAAAGTCAGTTTGTCAACGTCCAAATTACTGAAGAAAGAGGTCTTTAGCATTTTGACACCAGACGAGGTCAGCAATACTGCACAACATGACCTTTTGATCGTTGCCCTTGGTGAATCTTGGCTCAAGAGAAATATTGATAATGAAACCAAAGAAAGTACTACGCCTCACAACACACGCGTCACTGTGCAAGAAGCTAACGATGATATGGCATCACAGAAGCAAATGTGGGAATACCTGAGACCTGCCCATGTGGACAAAATAGTTGAAGCAGCTTTAGACACAGCAGTCCGTAAAATGGATGACGAGGAAGACTTACAAAGCCCTTCAAATGCAACTTAGATCAAGTATGATCTTTTCCGTATGGCCCACACAAAGATAGTGATCTCAATCAAAGAGTTGGATAAGGACAGGAGCTGTGGAAAGAAGCAAAGCAAGAAGCTGAGGATTTTCTGACGTCTATAAAACATGACTGGTCAGAAAGAGTAGGGGTTAGCACGAAAGCTACTCAATGAGAGGAAGTTGAATTAAGTTGAAGGATTGCCAAAGCCTGAAGATGTTGAGGTACTCTCCAAACACTTGCAGAAGAACACTTGCAGAAGAAGTTGACAGATGAGGACCTGTATCAAGGGGATGTCACCTGGTCGAGTTATCAGCAAGTAGCGCAGTATGCTCAGGCCAGACTACTTACCTTCAATAAAAGGCGTTCGGGAGAACTGGAAGCAATACAGTAAGATATTGAATCTTGATAGCTTGATTACTGAGTATGTTTATTCCATGCCCCTCTCTCACTAAATGGGTACCATAGTGATATATTCTCAGTGTTGCAGTTGTACATCTTTTACAATAGTTTTCATAAAAAGACGACTACTTTGTTATTTGACGTAATGTCTTGAGGTCGCTTGAATTTTGAGTCATTTTGGCCTTTAGAAAGTAAACTCGTTATTGCATGTAACTGTGCTTAGCCTAACAAATACACGTGATGGTAAGGGTTCAATGATTTCATCGTTGAGGTTAAATTAAGCTGTTGAGGTTAAATTAAGCTGTTAATAGTTCACCTTTGACCCTCACACCTCTTTCAGCCTAAAGAGCTATCTTCAGCGAACATCCGTGGCTGATGTGGATAGTGGCCTGACTGGACAATTAAGCGAGACAGAGCAGTACCTGCTGCAAAATCATGATTTACTGGAGACTAGAGGAAGGGTAATAATTTGTCATATTTTTTTAATTCTCGTCCAAATTATGTTTGTGTACATTGTGCACTGTATTACTCGCACAGAAGATACACGTACATTTGTAGCTGCTGGTCTTTGAGAGACATCAAATAAACTGTGATCAAACACCGAAGGCCTTTTCTAAAGCCTTGTATAAGTGTGAAATTCAATATTTTTGAAATACAATAGAACAACGGATTGTGTAAATGTTAACTTCATTTGATAAACTTGACTTCTTTTTAAATGTTCAGGAGATTTTATTTTGTATCAGAGTTGGGTTATTTTCCAATCTAATTGGTAGTAACAGCATTTGTAGTCTCCATTTCCACTGTTTTACCGATTACTGATGTTGTTACAGGTTGGACATAGAGTGCCAGTTGTGATCCCGAAGGACTGCCAGAGAGCGCTTGCCTATCTTGCAAATAGTGAAATGAGAAAGAAAGCTGGAGTGAGACAAACAAATAAGTACCTCTTCCCAAATGCTGGTATGTAAAATTCTTGATTCTCTTTGGTTTTTCAATTAGTATGATTTGAATGCTTCTTCTAAACAGCGGTAGCATAGCTAGAGATAAACATGTAGATTTCTAAATCAAAAATGTGCTTGCTTTTTAATTAAATCTGAAATTTATCTTGGAGTTTGTGCCAAAACTTCACAGCTATTTTTGTAGGTCATGTTTGTAGTCGAAGGACAATGTGACAAGTTTCTTATGAGGAGATCGGATTCCTTATCACAAAATGAGGTAAAAACAGTCACAAAAGACAGACACGAAATGTGATTAACTTCATTTTTTCAAACAAAGATATTACCGAATACATCTTTAAAAAATTCTCATAAGTTCAAAACTTTCAATAGTTTGGGGAAAAAAGAATACTCAGGCTTCTTTACGTTATTGCAGTTTTATTTACTTCCCTTGTGTTTATGTTGATCTGTTTCAGGGGATTCCGTTCTCAGGGCCTATGACTCCCTAAAAAAGGTTTGCCAAGAGTGCGATCTCCAAATACCTGGAAGAAACACAAGCGTCAACTTACGCAAGTACATGGCAACATTGGCCCAGGTTATGGACCTAACCCCCAACCAAATGGACTGGGTATGCAAACATCTGGGTCACTCAAAGACAGTGCATTTAAATCACAATAGAGTCATGAGCTCTTTTCTGGAACGTGTTGAAATTGGAAAACTATTGCTCATGCAAGATTTAAATGTTCAGTCCAATTTTGTTGGGAAAACTTTGATTGATGTAGATTTTTCCAGCATTGTGTTTAGAAGAGCCTAAGAGGGAGTTGTTGCCAGTTGCAGCCAAGCATCAACCCGAGAAGGAAGAGCAGTTGAATATGCAACCTCTCAGAGTGGAGAAGAATCCAGCGCTTCTGATTTTGAAGAAGTGCCCAAGAAGGAGAGGAAGGTTACGGTTAGCAAACCTCAAAGACGGTCTCGCACATTCATAGAGCTCGAGGAGTTGCGCAAATACTTGCATGAGAACTTTGAGACCAAAACAACGCCAGGCAAACAGCAGTGCGACAGAGCCATCGAGCTGAGCAGGCAGAATGGGGGGGGGGGGGGGGGGAGCTACACAGACGTCAGTGGCACTTGATAGTCGGAAAAGTATCTAACTTGCTTCAGAAAGTAAGATAAGTCTATGTGTGCATCTATAGTCTTGATGGATTGGTTCAAGGGTAATTTGACCAGGAGCTTGATTGCAGAATGCGCTTTGTGTTAAAATGACAATACATGTAGTTTTTATTTCAAATTTTAAGAGGAGTTTTGCATGAAGCAATACACATACCTTTTTGGGTAATATTTTTAAGTTTCAATATTAAAATTTTCTACAAATTGCATGTTATTCTGGCTTATATTCTCAAACTGATTTAAAACAACGTTTCAAAAAGAAAAAGTAAACCTTTGATGCGACACTGCACGAACATTTTAAGTACATATAGTATACTTCAATTTCATAATGTTAATGCAGAGTGTGTTGTTAATTTAGGTACTGATTTTGTTGTATGTACAAGGCTACATAATTTGAGGTCAACATGTTGACATAAAAACATTTATTTTCACAATTGAAATGAAAATTGCTTAAGATGCCACGTCAACCTATTTTAGTTTAAAACGTTGATAAAAAGTGGTTCTTGTAACATATTCCTTGTAATGTAGGAAAGGCGATTTTATAAGGATAACATTCTGATATGAAAAGAAGTATTTCAAAATTTTAAATGAAAATTGCATGAGATACTGCGCAAAGCTTTTAAAGTAAAATGTTTTTAGATTAAGGTTTTTTTTTCAAGGTTTCATTTTTCTTTCAGTCTGTGAATGGCTATTTGATTATTGGTCAATGTGCCGATTTAACAGGATTTCTTTCCAAAATACAAATGGAAATTGCATGAGACAGCACAAACCTTTTTAAGTAATGGATTTCAATTTATCATGTTCTAGCTTTATTAATCAGATTACTATAGTTGTATTTCAAATTAAATGTTGCATAAGACTGCATAATGTTTTTGAGTAATGTACTGTTGTTTTAATTGAAGTTAATATTTTGTATGTAGGTTCCATTTTTCCTTCTGTACATGTATGTGAAAGGTGACTTGATACATGTACATGTAGGTCAGTGTGCTGGTTTAAAAAGGTCTATTTCCCGAAAAACAAAAAAACCCTGAAAGTTATACAAGACACTGCACAAACTTTGTTTAAGTAATGTACTTTCGTCTTTTAAATTGAGGTTCAATATCTGCTTCATTTAGGCTCTTACATTCCTTTCAGTCTGTGATTTCAGTCTGTAATTATACAATGTAGGTCAACATGTCATGCTGAATAAAAAAGATGTACATGTATGTCCAAAATTAAAATGAAAGTTGCACAAGACACCACACATTTTTTTAGGAATGAATTTTAATTTCAAAAGGTTGATGTACTGTATAGTTTGTTTTTATATTCTGGCTTACATTTCACATTTTTAAATCACTAAGGCAGTGTAATGTTTCTTAAGTAAAGTACTTTAACTTTTTAAATTTCAGGTTGATATGTTTTTACTCGGGCTTTCATTTTCCTGTCAGTATGTAAAGAATAACTTAAGGATAGGTTAGTATGCTGGTTTAAAGCGATATACATGTATTTCCAAAATTAATAGCGAAGTTGCATGAGACACTCTTCGACCCTTTAAAATGATGTACTCCAGTTTTTGAATGTTTATATTTATTTCTTTTACTCCCAGGTTTTCAATTTAAATTTTCAGATTGCAATAATTCTATTTCAGAATAAAAGTTACATAAGACTGCATTATATTTTCTATAAAGTATTATACTTCAATTTTAAATTAAGGTTGATTTGTTTAATATATTAAGGCTTTCATTTTACATTTTCTGATTACATTAGTTTTATTTGAAAATGAAAATTGCATAAGATGGCACTTTTAAGAAGTGTGCTTTCAATTTATTTTAGGATGGATATATCCTTTTTTCATTCAGGCTTTCGTGTTCCTTTTAAACTGTGAAGGCTACTTGATTACAATGTATAGGTCAACATGTTGATTTAAAAGGTCTATTTCCAAAAACAAAATGAAAGTTGCAGGAGACACTGCAAAACCCTTTATGTAATATAGTTAAAGTTTTACAGGTTGACACAGAGTTCTTTTGATGTCAGAGTTGTGAAGTTTTACTGTCGAATTTTGACTGTTGATGTTATGATCTTCGGAGTTTTACTGTATTATAAGTGAATGCCGAGATCAGGAAATTGCATCACACTTCATGCTGGTTTTTCATCAAACCATCCCATAACAATGCGAGACTAAATACTCAGGATATGAGATTGCAACAGAAACCATATTGAAAAGATACATGTACATGTAAATATGTTCTTTTCCCTCTAAGAAATGACACAGTACAAACCAGATTTTAAATTAAAGTTGATTTGTTTATTATATTTAGGCTTACATTTTACATTTTCAGATTACATTAGTTTTATTTGAAACTGAAAGTTGCATAAGACGGCACAAACGTTTTTTAAGAAGTGTGCTTTCAATTTATTTTAGGATGGATATATCCTTTTTTCATTCAGGCTTTCATGTTCCTTTTAAACAGTGAAGGGCTACTCGATTACAATGTATAGTAGGTCAACATGTTGATTTAAAAAGATATATTTCCAAAATCAAAATGAAAGATGCAGGAGACGCTGCAGAAACCTTTAAGTAATATAGTTAAAGTTTGACAGGTTGACACAGAGTTCTTCTGATGTCAGAGTTGTGAAGTTTTACTGTCAAATTTTGACTGTTGATGTTATGATGTTGGGAGTTTTTCTGTATTATATAAGTGAATACCGAGATCAGATAATTGCATCACACTTCATGCTGGTTTTTCATCAAACCATCCCATAACAACGCAAGACTAAGGCCAAAAAAAAAATAAGTCGGTCTCTGGTCAGCGCGCGCGTCGATTTTAATCATGCGCGTCAATCTTTTTTTTCCAAAATGTTCCGCGGTAGCTCCAACAGCGCCCTCTATTTCCGCACCTCCTCAAGTTCTTTTTTACCAAAGAGCACCAAGGAATGGGAAATTGCACCAAGGCAAATGGTCGAAAGCACCAAGGCAACAAAATAGTACCCACATTGTCTGTACAATCCAAGCTTGAAGAAAAAAAAAAAGCCGCGTGGCCGCGTCAATTCTGGAACTTTGGTCTGACCAGAGACCAAATATTTTTTTTTTGGCCTTAATACTCAGGATATCAGATTGCAACAGAAACCATATTGAAAAGATACATGTACATGTAAAAATGTTATTTTCCCTGTAAGAAATGACACGTACAAACCAAATTGTTTCCAAGTGTGAGATGGCAGAAGATTTTCATTTGGTACATCTGCAAATACATGTTAATGAATGTTGGTGAAACTTACCTTTACACATTTAAAGTTCAATTCCACTGCAGTCATATTACGAAACATGCACTTTGCTTACTCAATGTTGAAAGTTACACATTAAAATACATATGAATTGTTCAAATGACACATGTTCAAATGAAAGGAAATATTGTCCGCATAATGTTGGAAGTCACACATGGCTCATTTCATTATGGATAATTCAAATGTGTCCATAATGTTATTTGACTTTCAACTCTTAAGTAATGAATATGCTTATGTATCATTTGAACTGTTCATGTGTAATTTGACTTTAGTTTGCTTTCGACATTAAGTAGTAAATATGCTGATGTGTCATTTACACTGTCCATGTGTAATTTCAATTATGAGGCTTTCAACAAAAAATTTACATGAGTAATTTCACTTGTGTGGCTCAGCATTAAGGAGAAAATGTGCTTATGTGTCGGTTGAACTGTCCATGTGTGATTTGACTTGTGTGGCTTTCAACATAACGTGCTTATGTGTCAGTTAAACTGTCCATGTGTAATTTGACTTGTGTGGCTAGACATTAAGTAGAAAGCGTGCTTATTTGTCGGTTGAACTGTCCATGTGTAATTTGACTTGTGTGGCTTTCAACATAAGTAAAAAGCGTGCTTATGTGTCGGTTGAACTGTCCATGTGTGATTTGACTTGTGTGGCTAGACATTAAGTAGAAAGCGTGCTTATGTGTCAGTTAAACTGTCCATGTGTGATTTGACTTGTGTGGCTTTCAACATAAGTAAAAAGCGTGCTTATGTGTCAGTTAAACTGTCCATGTGTGATTTGACTTGTGTGGCTAGACATTAAGTAGAAAGCGTGCTTATGTGTCTTTACTGTCCATGTGAAATTTGACTTGTGTGGCTTTTAACATTAAGTAGAAAATGTGCTTATGTGTCATTTGAAATGTCTGGTACTAAAGTGTCATTTGAACTGTCAAACGACACATAAGTATATTTTCTACTTGATGTTTAAAATCATACAGGTGGAGAGCTAGTCACAGAAGCTAATATGGACAGTCCGACACACAAGTACTCACAGAAATCAACACTTTTTTGGGAAACACAAAAGGATAATTTATACTTGAATCCACGGCACATAAGCAAAAAGTCACACAAGCATAGCTTTGTTAGTATACGCCTCCGTCCGTCCGTTTTGACGAGTGACCATTTGTGGGGTCCATGACCAGAACATATATTCAGTTCTGGGGTACTTTGTCAAAAGTGGGGTATACCCCACTTTTAAAATTAATATGGATGCTTGTCAGTGCGTTCTGGGGTATAATGAAAGTTTTTGGCTAACCCCACATTTGTTGTGTCCATAAATGTGCACAAAACCTATAGACATAATATGCCTAAGACAAACCGTGCAATAACATTGTTTAAAAGTAAATAGCGCCATCTATTGGTGGATTGATGTTGGGCGCGGCACTGGTATTATGTATGTACATTAGTAAACGATACTCGCGGGTGCCGATCTCCAGCGACATGTGATATCATGTGATCTCTATTTCGCGCGCGTCGTAGGTGGATATCGGTTACCAATGCTGCACCGTCGCACGTTATACACTGCGCCGTGGACCAGGCAATAACCCCGCACGCAGCCGGCCACGCGTGCACTACATGTATGTAGTTGCAGCACGTCGATCTTGTATACGCTGTGGAAAGGATTTTCAAAATCGAAGAACGACAAATTAAAAGGTAAATTTTTCCTGTTTTGTGTGGGTAAAGAATAATATTTTCTGTCTCGTATTGTGTGAATTTTTTGTGGGTTTTTGTATTCAGTAAACTGTTTGAAATTGTTCTCGAAGTGTAACTGTTAGTTGTGGACAAACACAGCAGCCGGGCGGTGCGCGGTAGGCCCTAAAAAAATTAACATGGCACTTGGCAGTGGTTTTCGTTCTGCCGCGCCGTTTAATTTGCCCCGAATTTCTTTATGCAGTGTTGTCAAACTTCTTTGTTTATGAACTTCAAACTCTTTCCGTAAAATACTGGTACTTTTACCTCAATAATATTTGTTGATGTGTTGTGAAATTTAGTCCGAAATTTAAATTAAAAACGGTGTCGTCCGGAAACTGGGCACAACGCACTTGAAAATGCTTGAAGTTGAACAAATCTCGGCGGCCAAATAAACAATTACATGAATGTTGCAACCTGACCCCACACTTTTGTCTTCAATATAGCATCCTAATAAATGTCAATCATTGCAAAAATGTTGCGAAAAGACATGAATCTAGGACCAAAAAACATTTCAATTTTGTTAGGAAAATTTGTGGAAAAAAAGTAAGAATGTTGCAACCTGACATGCTTGACGCCACTTTTTCCTTCCTAACCCCTATATTATCTCAATGAAGCTCAACTCCCTTAAGGTCAGTTATTGCAAAAATGATGAAAAGACATGAATCTGGGACTGAGAAACATTTCCAATTTTGTTGGGAAATAATTTTGTTGACTCTTCATAGACCATGTACACAAGTGGCGTCAGGTTGCAACATTTTTCCCAATTTACTGGACGGGTCCTACTAAAGCGCGTCAACAAGTTTTAGTAATCGTTAAGTGCGCGTCAACAAATTATGTATAGGCTTTTGAACAATAAAAACAGCTTTATATGGTAGAAAAAGCAATAATGAACATCTTCTGCATATCAATTAAAGTTAAAATTATTTTAAAACTTGGTTTTTTGAACGCGAAATGTACGACGAAATTGTCGATAAAACTAGGCCGCCATCTTGTTTGGATGGTGCTGTAGACTTCGCGCATGCGTAGTATGGCTCTTTACACTTCACGCATGCGTAGTACGGCTAGCTACACATAAACAAGATGGCGGCCAACTTTTATCGACAAATTCGTCGTACATTTCGCGTTAAAAAAAAACAAGTTTTAAAATAATTTTAACTTTAATTGATATGCAGAAGATGTTCATTATTGCTTTTTCTACCATATAAAGCTGTTTTTATTGTTCAGAGGCCTATACAAAATTTGTTGACGCGCACTTAACGACTACTAAAACTTGTTGACGCTTGTTGACGCGCTTTAGTAGGACCGTACTGGACTACCTCCGTAAATATAGGCCACACATGGAACATGTAGGCCTACCCAAACATGTGAAACTTTGTCAAATGTGGATTAGCACATTTAGGGTTAAGGCCTAGGCCTATTTATTGTAGTAGGCCTATTTTTACATGTACGGTATTATTAAGAAGTATACTCGCCCTCGGCCCTCTTTATAATTATAGTGATAGAAAAAGTATCCCCCTTTTTCAGACATCTACGTTTCGTGTAATTTCATGTTGGAATTTAGATACGCAAACGTGTCCAAACAAACCTGGAAATTACACAAAATGTAGGGGGGGGGGGTAAATTTCTATCGCTATTGAGCATGTCAAGAGGGTGAGTATGCTTCTAAAGTGTAAATAAACTACAAATAAAGCAGTGAAAATCCAAACTTGACAAAGTTCTACATGTTCGGGTACATGTTCCAAGCTTGGGATTTATTTAAAGAGTCCAGTAAATTGGCCACATTTATGCGGCTAGATACTTACATGTAGGCGAATAAAAAAAAGTGTTAAGCGTCCCCCCGCCCGCTTCCTTTTTGGTGGATGCCTCCTTTTTTTTTAACCAAAAAAATGACACATTGTAAACAGTGACATCATTGTGGCCTCTTTATCTGTTGCATACAGCAACCTGTTTCCTGAGTCCAAAGGTGGCCATTAAAAAAAAACTGGTGACCATCTTGAAAAATAATCTGGTTGGGCGGCCATTTTGGAGGGGGGAAAAAGGGCTTCCCTCTTCCTTTATTTGGTTTTGTTAAAAGCATGACGTTAAACATGTTTTTTTTTATTTCGCCATACTTTTATACTACATCCTTTTTGTCAGATTTTTTTAAAAAAAGAGTTGGGGGCGCATTTTATAAAAGGTTCATTGTTCTCAGGTCATGATGTGCACTTAAGGAAAATTGGAAAAATAGGCCTAGTGGCTGTCGATACGACAGCTGTATTGCAATTTCCAAATATCATTACGGAATTTACGTCATTGTAAAAGCACAATGTGAATAAGATTTACTAGTGCCCATTCAACCAAAATGCTTTGGTAGCTCGATTAGTGCAGCCATTAGCTCAATTATCTTTTTTTTTTAATAGGCCTACATTTCATAAATCTTGGGTTTTTAATCAAATTGTTCTATTTATTTTTAAACAGATTTAATTTTCTTCCCTTTGAAATCTGTGGTTCTGGAAGTTTATTTTTTGTATTTTTTTTTTTTTTATGGGAAATAAAGTCAGAGAACCATGTGGTCTGGTTTCTACAGCCAAAGATTGTGATGTGACATTAAAGTACTATTACATCAGGGAACTAGACAGTTCTGTAATGATAGCAGTCCAAGAAAATGTGCGTTGCGGCTGCTGTAGCGATAAACCATGGATGCTCACTGGAGTAGACTCTCTGCTTAGGGCCATACTTCCCTTTCATGTACTTCCCTGGGAGCTAGTAGTTACATATATTATTTTTTTATGGAGGTAATTCTGCCTCAAACTCGGCATGTAGGTTCACTTACCATAGAACATCCATATTTTTCCAGAATTAGTTAGTTCTTATGATGGTCCCTTTGGTGTAATTTGTCTCTAAAATGTGTGACACAAGGTGCCACTTCCTTCGCCAATCAAGATTCATTTCAATATCGCCGACAAATATTTTAGCACGTCTGTGCAGGCGCACACACCAAAAACCAACAGCTGTGTCATGAAACAGCCCCACGTTTGTTGGCAACTTTGGTAACCAAAACAAAATTTTGCTAATAAGTTTAGAAAGATTTCTAAAATATTCAAATGTTTAAATGTTCAATACAGCATATGCACATGTACAATATACATGTACATGTATCCATGTCGCATGATGGCAAAATAATAGCAATTCACTTGATATTTGATATTTGGTTGAGATGATAATTATGGTAGGATCATTTATTGAACTGTTGATTCTTATGATTTCCCCCACACAGCACTGAACAATGGGGAAAACGCCTACTCAGGTGTTGTTCAAAGGTAAGCTTTATTTGAACATTCTTTTATCTCCAAAACTGTAGCACCTACAAAGCCAAGTTGTACATGTACATCATACTAAAGCTCTTTGAATGGCCTCCATTTCATAAAATAAAACGTAGCATGAAGCGCAAAGAAAATGTGTAACGAAATCATACATACACATGTATGATGTACACTGTACATGTACATGTGCATATTTACCAGTACCTGTTCATATACATGTAGCCCTAATATGGGAATGAATTCCAAACTAGTATGTCAGTTATCTGCCAGTTAAACACATCAGTGGTCACCTGACCTTGTGATTTCACCTAAGATGAATCCAGAAAGCTCTTGAAATGTAAAGACATTTTCGGAAATATGTGTTCATAGAGCAGACTTTGGATGCACACTTCAGCTCGGCAGCAGACAGTCATGATGATTCTTTCCCATACACATGTGTGTACATGTATATCACATCACCATACATTTAATTTCTTATTTTCAGAAGGGGATCTAGTACTAGTGAAGTACTACCAGTCCGTGTGGTGGCCAGCATACGTAAAGAGACCCACTATAAAACAAGGAAACACATTCAAAACTGTGTGCGGGTTTTGGGAGGAGCAGGAGTAAGTGAAGTTTATTTTATTTTAATTTTTTGTTCATCTCAAATTATAGTCATTTCCTCTTACGTTTCCATTAGTCCAGAAAAAAAAGTCTTCGGTTTCTGGTATGGAGCTTGCCCCAAAAATGTTGCGGTGATGTGGCTTTTTTCCTTCTTTTTTTTCCCTTTTTTTTCCCGAACGTCGGCTGATGACTGCAAATGGTGCCCAACTACATTTAGTGCAAAACGTATGGGAGCCCAGAAAGGCCACATAAAGCTTATACTTGATCGTAACCCCATCTTAAAACATGTTAAAATTGTGCAGCAGCAGGATTCCAGTCAAACCTGTGAGTTTGACGGTTTTGAGACGTTGGAAAAAAAAATAATTTTGCTGACCGCATGGCTACGGCGAAGCACGCGCAGACCTGAAACCAGAGGCTTTTTTTTTTTGGCCTTACTCTGCCTTCTTTCACGAATGGGAGCACCTATGCAAATCCGCATTGTGATTGGTTAACCTTTCAGCACTCTACTTATTTGCATAAAGATGTGAAAAGGCCAAAAAAGAAAAAATAGTTCTGCTTCCGATTACATGCCTTTCAAAAATATGGTCGGTCGGAATTTTTTTTTTTGGCCAATTTTTTATGCAGATTGAATGGGGTATTCAATTTTATACAACACCTGAATAAACCCCCGTCATCTGAATGGTGGATCGTTGATCACATGTCATTGAATTTTTCGTCCCAACGCGTGGCGCGCAACGCACAGTGCAATGGAAGTTCTATTGCACGGTGAATAGAACTTCCAATACACGGTGTCACTGCTGCTGGTTGGTGGTGGCGCTGTTTTAAATCGAGATAAATTGAATATGATTGTTCTCAACCTGTTGAACAGTTCGCATAAATTTAATATGATGAACTTGTCGAACTTTTAAACAGTTTTTAACCTGAACAGATTGGCTATTAAAAGTCAACCAATCAGATGACAAGGATTTTTTCAGGTGTTATATAAAACAAATAATGAATGTTTCACATTGGTGCAGTGGAAAGAATAATTTCATTCGGTGACAGATGAAATGTTCCATTCGCCTTGTGGAATGGATCATTTCTTCTGTCACCGAATGAAATTATTCTTACCATTGCACTCACAAACATTCATTATTTGTATAATATGGAAAGTTTTGGCCTGAACTATTTCCATTGCACTACGAAAGCTATACACAAAATGGCCACAAAAAGTAAATAAAACCTACCTTAAGTATTGTCAAAATATTTAAGCTCGATAATTCTTAGAAAAATAATGTAAATTATTACTCAGACTATCCTACATGTAAGGTATGTTGGGGGTCTAACGTATAAAGTAACGACTAAAATGATCTCAATGAACCCCCCCCCCCCCCCCCCCCATTGTAGGCTCTCACATAGTAACAGGACTAAAATGATCTCAATGACCCCCGATTACAGGCTATCAGTTGTGGGATTTGAGTTCTGATAAAAACGTTACTTTATGTGGTCAAAAGGTTAATATTTCTCCAATAGGGAACAATGCGTCACAAGATGTTCAATCAAACGTTTTGACAGCTCCGATCCACTTCTACACAAAGGAAGAGGTAGAATGTTACATGTAGTTATTAATCGAGTTTGGCAAGTTTGTTTTCTTGTTCCTCAAGATAACGCTTTTTTAGTTTGTGTTTTATCAAAACATGTTGGAAATAGAACACCTTAAGCCTTAAGTTCAGAACGAAGCACACTGCATAAATTTTGACTATAACTTCTCCCCCTATTTGATTCCTGTTAATTAAAGCCTTGCTCTATGTTAAAGCATGGACGATTAAAGAAACATTGACATCACTTAAAAAGGAACTACATGCAATATTATGTACAATGTACATGATCAAGATAATTGCCGATTGTATTCATATTGCATAATTTATTATCAAAAATGCTACTTATGGTGATTTGATTGAAAGTTACTATTAAAACATGCGGGCTAGTGAAAAAGGTTGCGGGCCAGCCCAGTGAAAACTCCGGTTTAGTGGCCCGGCCGGCCAGTAAAGGAAAAGTCAAGGGAAACCCCTGCATAACAACTCTTGAAGGTACATGTACATGTGAAACTAGAAAGCATGAAGAAATGTTCTGAATTTACAAAATCCGATGTCAGATGTAACAGGGACACCAACAAAAAGTGGACCCTGATTTTATAGAATTACCCATAATTTGTATGGGGAAAAAAGTAAAACCCTTCGTATAGTATGTTTTTATTTGTTGTTTACTTTTGGTTTTCACTTACCAGGATTTGGTAATTTGGATAAGAAAACTTTCATTTTTTACAAAGTGTTGATTTAATAACCAGGGTTGGAGTTGTGCAAGTTCCTTGTCATCAATTTTTCTTCTGTTTTAAAATAGTTTGCTTTTCTTATTAACTACATGTTTGTCACTCACTGTAATTCAACTGTGCCTGTTTTTTACATGTAACACTTTCAGGATTGCAACTCGTTAATGTACATTGTAATGACTGATGGAGTGCAATTCCAACATTATGTAATGTCCATTTATAACAGAGCTTGTACATGGAAAAACCTCAGTGAATAGACCTGAAAATTTGCTTTTCAAAGGAAATACAAACTAAGAGTTTCGATCATCTAACTCTAAATCTTAACTGGCTCTGTTACAGACATTTCACTGCCTGTCATATTGCTGAAATTGCCCTCATGTATAAACAAGCCTCTCCTGTGGTGCAAAAACTGATCCTCAAAGTTCGGTTGCAGTTCGATTTTTTTTCTCCGAACTTCGGCTCGGTTTGGCTTTGGAAGTGCATACATAATGTACATGTCCATGGTACAATGTATAGGTGCTGATGAATTGCAGGTGCTGAGGTGCGTACCATTTTTTCAAACCATATCAGCCCGATATATCCTATTGTATGCCTGGCTAGAACATAGCAAATAATGAAGATGAATGCGGAGGCTTTTAACCCGGTAAATTCAATCATCCGTGCGCGTTAATTTTGCCCTTTCTTAGCATTCCTAGTGACTCTTCTGAACTGACATTTGGGTTCGGGTTCTGTTCGGAAGGCCAAGTTCGGCAATTTTTTGTTCGGTTCAGCAGTTCGGCTGCAGCACTACTCCTGTTAATTTTTATGTAACAACTTAACAAGTGCCTTAATTCTTCACACCTGCATTTCTTTTGTTTTGAGTTGATTAATTGATAAACTCTACTACTTACCTAGCGAGGGTTCTGGAAGCTCGCTGCATGATATTTTGCTTCCAGGTTCTATTTCTAGAAAATGTCCAACATTTTTCCACAAAGGAGAAAGTTTACAAAACAATGTTGCCAAATTTGTAATGATAATGAACTTTTTTCTTTTTCCAGCTTTCCTCTCAAAATCTGCATCCAAGTATCTCCTCAAGTACAACGCAGATATTGAGAGGGCTAAAAAAGTTCAGGCCAAGGAAATAGGAGACAAGGTCAGGAACTCAGGTGGCCGTTCAGTGATCCCGGATGGTTCTAAAGAACAAAAGCCAATCTCAGGTGGCCAGTCAGTGATCCCAGATGGTTCTGAAGAAGAAAATCCAATCTCAGGTGGCCAGGCATTGATCCCGGATGGTTCTAAACAAAAAACGTCAATCTCAGGTGGCCAGTCAGTGATCCCAGATGGTTCTAAACAAAAAACGTCGATCTCAGGTGGCCAGGCAGTGATCCCAGATGGTTCTAAACAAAAAACTTCGATCTCAGGTGGCCAGGCAGTGATCCCAGATGGTTCTAAACAAAAAACGTCGATCTCAGGTGGCCAGTCAGTGATCCCAGATGGTTCTAAACAAAAAACGTCGATCTCAGGTGGCCAGTCAGTGATCCCAGATGGTTCTAAACAAAAAAACGTCGATCTCAGGTGGCCAGGCAGTGATCCCAGATGGTTCTAAACAAAAAAAAGTCGATCTCAGGTGGCCAGGCAGTGATCCCAGATGGTTCTAAACAAAAAACGTCGATCTCAGGTGGCCAGGCAGTGATACCAGATGGTTCTAAACAAAAAACGTCGATCTCAGGTGGCCAGTCAGTGATCCCGGATGGTTCTAAAAAAAACCCGTCGATCTCGGGTGGCCAGGCAGTGATACCAGATGGTTCTAAACAAAAAACGTCGATCTCAGGTGGCCAGGCAGTGATCCCGGATGATTCTAAACAAAAAACGTCGATCTCAGGTGGCCAGTCAGTGATCCCGGATGGTTCTAAAAAAAAACCCGTCGATCTCAGGTGGCCAGGCAGTGATACCAGATGGTTCTAAACAAAAAACGTCGATCTCAGGTGGCCAGGCAGTGATCCCGGATGATTCTAAACAAAAAACGTCGATCTCAGGTGGCCAGTCAGTGATCCCGGATGGTTCTAAAAAAAAACGTCGATCTCAGGTGGCCAGGCAGTGATACCAGATGGTTCTAAACAAAAAACGTCGATCTCAGGTGGCCAGGCAGTGATCCCAGATGGTTCTAAAAAACACGTCGATCTCAGGTGGCCAGTCAGTGATCCCAGATGGTTCTAAACAAAAAACGTCGATCTCAGGTGGCCAGTCAGTGATCCCGGATGGTTCTAAAAAAAACACGTCGATCTCAGGTGGCCAGGCAGTGATACCAGATGGTTTTAAACAAAAAACGTCGATCTCAGGTGGCCAGGCAGTGATCCCAGATGGTTCTAAAAAAAACCGTCGATCTCAGGTGGCCAGTCAGTGATCCCAGATGGTTCTAAACAAAAAACGTCGATCTCAGGTGGCCAGTCAGTGATCCCAGATGGTTCTAAACAAAAAACGTCGATCTCAGGTGGCCAGGCAGTGATCCCAGATGGTTCTAAACAAAAAACGTCGATCTCAGGTGGCCAGGCAGTGATCCCAGATGGTTCTAAACAAATAACATCGATCTCAGGTGGCCAGTCAGTGATCCCAGATGGTTCTAAACAAAAAACGTCGATCTCAGGTGGCCAGGCAGTGATCCCAGATGGTTCTAAACAGAGAAAGTCGATCTCAGGTGGCCAGTCAGGAATCCCAGATGGTTCTAAACAAAAAACGTCGATGTCAGGTGGCCAGTCAGTGATCCCGGATGGTTCTAAAGAACAAAAGCCAATCTCAGGTGGCCAGGCAGTGATCCCAGATGGTTTTAAAGAAGAAAAGCTGTTCTCAGGTGGCCAGTCAGTGATCCCAGATGGTTCTAAAGAACAAAAGCCAATCTCAGGTGGCCAGTCAGTGATCCCAGATGGTTTTAAAGAACAAAAGCCAATCTCAGGTGGCCAGGCAGTGATCCAAAATAGTTCTAAACAAAAAACATCGATCTCAGGTGGCCAGGCAGTGATCCCAGATGGTTCTAAACAAAAAACGTCGATCTCAGGTGGCCAGTCAGTGATCCCAGATGGTTCTAAACAAAAAACGTCGATCTCAGGTGGCCAGTCAGTGATCCCAGATGGTTCTAAACAAAAAAACGTCGATCTCAGGTGGCCAGGCAGTGATCCCAGATGGTTCTAAACAAAAAAAAGTCGATCTCAGGTGGCCAGGCAGTGATCCCAGATGGTTCTAAACAAAAAACGTCGATCTCAGGTGGCCAGGCAGTGATACCAGATGGTTCTATACAAAAAACGTCGATCTCAGGTGGCCAGTCAGTGATCCCGGATGGTTCTAAAAAAAACCCGTCGATCTCAGGTGGCCAGGCAGTGATACCAGATGGTTCTAAACAAAAAACGTCGATCTCAGGTGGCCAGGCAGTGATCCCGGATGATTCTAAACAAAAAACGTCGATCTCAGGTGGCCAGTCAGTGATCCCGGATGGTTCTAAAAAAAAACGTCGATCTCAGGTGGCCAGGCAGTGATACCAGATGGTTCTAAACAAAAAACGTCGATCTCAGGTGGCCAGGCAGTGATCCCAGATGGTTCTAAAAAAAACACGTCGATCTCAGGTGGCCAGTCAGTGATCCCAGATGGTTCTAAACAAAAAACGTCGATCTCAGGTGGCCAGTCAGTGATCCCGGATGGTTCTAAAAAAAAAAACCGTCGATCTCAGGTGGCCAGGCAGTGATACCAGATGGTTTTAAACAAAAAACGTCGATCTCAGGTGGCCAGGCAGTGATCCCAGATGGTTCTAAAAAAACCCGTCGATCTCAGGTGGCCAGTCAGTGATCCCAGATGGTTCTAAACAAAAAACGTCGATCTCAGGTGGCCAGTCAGTGATCCCAGATGGTTCTAAACAAAAAACGTCGATCTCAGGTGGCCAGGCAGTGATCCCAGATGGTTCTAAACAAAAAACGTCGATCTCAGGTGGCCAGGCAGTGATCCCAGATGGTTCTAAAAAAACCCGTCGATCTCAGGTGGCCAGTCAGTGATCCCAGATGGTTCTAAACAAAAAACGTCGATCTCAGGTGGCCAGTCAGTGATCCCAGATGGTTCTAAACAAAAAACGTCGATCTCAGGTGGCCAGGCAGTGATCCCAGATGGTTCTAAACAAAAAACGTCGATCTCAGGTGGCCAGGCAGGGATCCCAGATGGTTCTAAACAAATAACATCGATCTCAGGTGGCCATTCAGTGATCCCAGATGGTTCTAAACAAAAAACGTCGATCTCAGGTGGCCAGGCAGTGATCCCAGATGGTTCTAAACAGAGAAAGTCGATCTCAGGTGGCCAGTCAGGAATCCCAGATGGTTCTAAACAAAAAACGTCGATGTCAGGTGGCCAGTCAGTGATCCCGGATGGTTCTAAAGAACAAAAGCCAATCTCAGGTGGCCAGGCAGTGATCCCAGATGGTTTTAAAGAAGAAAAGCTGTTCTCAGGTGGCCAGTCAGTGATCCCGGATGGTTCTAAAGAACAAAAGCCAATCTCAGGTGGCCAGTCAGTGATCCTAGATGGTTTTAAAGAACAAAAGCCAATCTCAGGTGGCCAGGCAGTGATCCAAAATAGTTCTAAACAAAAAACATCGATCTCAGGTGGCCAGGCAGTGATACCAGATGGTTCTAAACAAAAAACGTCGATCTCAGGTGGCCAGGCAGTGATACCAGATGGTTCTAAACAGAGAAAGTCGATCTCAGGTGGCCAGTCAGGAATCCCAGATGGTTCTAAACAAAAAACGTCGATGTCAGGTGGCCAGTCAGTGATCCCGGATGGTTCTAAAGAACAAAAGCCAATCTCAGGTGGCCAGGCAGTGATCCCAGATGGTTTTAAAGAAGAAAAGCTGTTCTCAGGTGGCCAGTCAGTGATCCCGGATGGTTCTAAAGAACAAAAGCCAATCTCAGGTGGCCAGTCAGTGATCCCAGATGGTTTTAAAGAAGAAAAGCTGTTCTCAGGTGGCCAGGCAGTGATCCAAAATAGTTCTAAACAAAAAACGTCGATCTCAGGTGGCCAGTCAGTGATCCCAGATGGTTCTAAAAAACACGTCGATCTCAGGTGGCCAGGCAGTGATACCAGATGGTTCTAAACAAAAAACGTCGATCTCAGGTGGCCAGTCAGTGATCCCGGATGGTTCTAAAAAAAACACGTCGATCTCAGGTGGCCAGGCAGTGATACCAGATGGTTTTAAACAAAAAACGTCGATCTCAGGTGGCCAGGCAGTGATCCCAGATGGTTCTAAAAAAAACCGTCGATCTCAGGTGGCCAGTCAGTGATCCCAGATGGTTCTAAACAAAAAACGTCGATCTCAGGTGGCCAGTCAGTGATCCCAGATGGTTCTAAACAAAAAACGTCGATCTCAGGTGGCCAGGCAGTGATCCCAGATGGTTCTAAACAAAAAACGTCGATCTCAGGTGGCCAGGCAGTGATCCCAGATGGTTCTAAACAAATAACATCGATCTCAGGTGGCCAGTCAGTGATCCCAGATGGTTCTAAACAAAAAACGTCGATCTCAGGTGGCCAGGCAGTGATCCCAGATGGTTCTAAACAGAGAAAGTCGATCTCAGGTGGCCAGTCAGGAATCCCAGATGGTTCTAAACAAAAAACGTCGATGTCAGGTGGCCAGTCAGTGATCCCGGATGGTTCTAAAGAACAAAAGCCAATCTCAGGTGGCCAGGCAGTGATCCCAGATGGTTTTAAAGAAGAAAAGCTGTTCTCAGGTGGCCAGTCAGTGATCCCAGATGGTTCTAAAGAACAAAAGCCAATCTCAGGTGGCCAGTCAGTGATCCCAGATGGTTTTAAAGAACAAAAGCCAATCTCAGGTGGCCAGGCAGTGATCCAAAATAGTTCTAAACAAAAAACATCGATCTCAGGTGGCCAGGCAGTGATCCCAGATGGTTCTAAACAAAAAACGTCGATCTCAGGTGGCCAGTCAGTGATCCCAGATGGTTCTAAACAAAAAACGTCGATCTCAGGTGGCCAGTCAGTGATCCCAGATGGTTCTAAACAAAAAAACGTCGATCTCAGGTGGCCAGGCAGTGATCCCAGATGGTTCTAAACAAAAAAAAGTCGATCTCAGGTGGCCAGGCAGTGATCCCAGATGGTTCTAAACAAAAAACGTCGATCTCAGGTGGCCAGGCAGTGATACCAGATGGTTCTATACAAAAAACGTCGATCTCAGGTGGCCAGTCAGTGATCCCGGATGGTTCTAAAAAAAACCCGTCGATCTCAGGTGGCCAGGCAGTGATACCAGATGGTTCTAAACAAAAAACGTCGATCTCAGGTGGCCAGGCAGTGATCCCGGATGATTCTAAACAAAAAACGTCGATCTCAGGTGGCCAGTCAGTGATCCCGGATGGTTCTAAAAAAAAACGTCGATCTCAGGTGGCCAGGCAGTGATACCAGATGGTTCTAAACAAAAAACGTCGATCTCAGGTGGCCAGGCAGTGATCCCAGATGGTTCTAAAAAAAACACGTCGATCTCAGGTGGCCAGTCAGTGATCCCAGATGGTTCTAAACAAAAAACGTCGATCTCAGGTGGCCAGTCAGTGATCCCGGATGGTTCTAAAAAAAAAAACCGTCGATCTCAGGTGGCCAGGCAGTGATACCAGATGGTTTTAAACAAAAAACGTCGATCTCAGGTGGCCAGGCAGTGATCCCAGATGGTTCTAAAAAAACCCGTCGATCTCAGGTGGCCAGTCAGTGATCCCAGATGGTTCTAAACAAAAAACGTCGATCTCAGGTGGCCAGTCAGTGATCCCAGATGGTTCTAAACAAAAAACGTCGATCTCAGGTGGCCAGGCAGTGATCCCAGATGGTTCTAAACAAAAAACGTCGATCTCAGGTGGCCAGGCAGTGATCCCAGATGGTTCTAAACAGAGAAAGTCGATCTCAGGTGGCCAGTCAGGAATCCCAGATGGTTCTAAACAAAAAACGTCGATGTCAGGTGGCCAGTCAGTGATCCCGGATGGTTCTAAAGAACAAAAGCCAATCTCAGGTGGCCAGGCAGTGATCCCAGATGGTTTTAAAGAAGAAAAGCTGTTCTCAGGTGGCCAGTCAGTGATCCCAGATGGTTCTAAAGAACAAAAGCCAATCTCAGGTGGCCAGTCAGTGATCCCAGATGGTTTTAAAGAACAAAAGCCAATCTCAGGTGGCCAGGCAGTGATCCAAAATAGTTCTAAACAAATAACATCGATCTCAGGTGGCCATTCAGTGATCCCAGATGGTTCTAAACAAAAAACGTCGATCTCAGGTGGCCAGGCAGTGATCCCAGATGGTTCTAAACAGAGAAAGTCGATCTCAGGTGGCCAGTCAGGAATCCCAGATGGTTCTAAACAAAAAACGTCGATGTCAGGTGGCCAGTCAGTGATCCCGGATGGTTCTAAAGAACAAAAGCCAATCTCAGGTGGCCAGGCAGTGATCCCAGATGGTTTTAAAGAAGAAAAGCTGTTCTCAGGTGGCCAGTCAGTGATCCCAGATGGTTCTAAACAAAAAAAGGTCGATCTCAGGTGGCCAGGCAGTGATCCCAGATGGTTCTAAACAAAAAACGTCGATCTCAGGTGGCCAGGCAGTGATCCCAGATGGTTCTAAACAAATAACATCGATCTCAGGTGGCCAGTCAGTGATCCCAGATGGTTCTAAACAAAAAACGTCGATCTCAGGTGGCCAGGCAGTGATCCCAGATGGTTCTAAACAGAGAAAGTCGATCTCAGGTGGCCAGTCAGGAATCCCAGATGGTTCTAAACAAAAAACGTCGATGTCAGGTGGCCAGTCAGTGATCCCGGATGGTTCTAAAGAACAAAAGCCAATCTCAGGTGGCCAGGCAGTGATCCCAGATGGTTTTAAAGAAGAAAAGCTGTTCTCAGGTGGCCAGTCAGTGATCCCGGATGGTTCTAAAGAACAAAAGCCAATCTCAGGTGGCCAGTCAGTGATCCCAGATGGTTTTAAAGAAGAAAAGCTGTTCTCAGGTGGCCAGGCAGTGATCCAAAATAGTTCTAAACAAAAAACATCGATCTCAGGTGGCCAGTCAGTGATCCCAGATGGTTCTAAACAACAAACATCGATCTCAGGTGGCCATTCAGTGATCCTGGATGGTTCTAAAGAACAAAAGCCAATCTCAGGTGGCCAGTCAGTGATCCTGGATGGTTCTAAACAAAAAACATCGATCTCAGGTGGCCCTTCAGTGATCCCAGATGGTTCTAAACAGAGAAAGTCGATCTCAGGTGGCCAGTCAGGAATCCCAGATGGTTCTAAACAAAAAACGTCGATCTCAGGTGGCCCGTCAGTGATCCTGGATGGTTCTAAAAAACAAAAGCCAATCTCAGGTGGCCAGTCAGTGATCCCAGATGGTTTTAAAAAAGAAAAGCTGTTCTCAGGTGGCCAGGCAGTGATCCAAAATAGTTCTAAACAAAAAACATCGATCTTAGGTGGCCAGTCAGTGATCCCAGATGGCTCTAAAGAAGAAAAGTCGATCTTGGATGGTTCTGAAGAAAAAATGTCAATCTCAGATGGTCAGTGGGAGATCCCAGATGGTTCTTCAGAAGTAATACTGATAACAGATAGCCAGTTGGAGATCTCAGGTGGTTCTAAAGAAGAAAAGCCGATATCAGATGATTCTGAAGAAGAAACGTCAATCTCAGATGGTTCTGAAGACGAAACGTCAAGCTCAGACGGTTCTGAACATGAAATGGCGACCTCAGATGGTTCTGAAGAAGAAATGTCAATCTCTGATGGTCTAGCTTTGCTAGAGTCGGACAGAAAACGTAGAAAAGTCATTACACAGTTAGTTAATGCCCATGATGACTTTGGTCTTGATACAAATCTGTCTGATGAAGAGGTAGTGTCGGACTCGGATGGAGAGTCTGACGAATCAGATGAATCTGTGAAGTTTCCATTCCTTGTTCCCAGCCGTGAATCTTCGCAAGTGTCGCAAGTGTCGGATAGTCAATTCCTGACAACATTCAAAGAGACGCCTGGCACAAAATGATCTATGTCAAGCTAGTAACACACTCTGAAACGACTAGTGAAGGCAGGAAAAAGAAATGCACCAGAAAGTACGATGCATACCACCATTGTCTATTTTGTCCACCAGGAAAGAACGTTTTCTGTAACTTCTCGAAACACTTGGCCATTCAGAAGCATCAGCACGAGCCGGAGGTGAGAGAAATCAAGAGGTTAGAACCCACAGACACAGACTCCAAAGAAGATGCGGAACTCAAGCTGAAGGAGAGGAAAAGAAAAATTGCCCTGCTCCGATTCAGGGGAGATCACGAGCATAATATTGATGTGTTGAAGAAGAAGCGTGGTGAAGTTGTATTGGGAAGGAGGTTCAACTCAGGCCAGTTTGATGTTACACACTATGGTCCTTGCCCAATATGTTTTGAGTGGTTGCAGTTGAAGCTGATCAGTCGTCACGAATGTCCAGGTGCTTGTGATGGTCCTACACACAGTCAACGTGCTTTAATTACCCGGTCATTGGTTATATCAGGAAGAATCACTGAAGAGGCAAGCATGCCTTTGGTGAAAGAGGTCTTTTCCATCATGCTGTTTGATGAAGTGGGTAAAACAGCCAGAGCCGATGCCCTTATAGTGTGTCTAGGGAACCAGGCACTTGCCCGAAATGTTGGTAACAAGCTAATGAGGGGAAATTACACGAGTAGTGTAATGCGACTGGCAAGCAACTTGCTGCTACACCTCAGGAAAGATCCAGTCCAGAAAATAGCACCTCCTTCACCAGGCAGTCCAGGCTGTTCTAACAAGAATGACATGTGGGACTATATTCGTCCACAGCATTTTGACAGATGTGTCAAAGCTGCACTAGCCACAGCTTTCCAGGACGGGGACGACCTGAACGAGCTGGATGCTCCGTCAAATGCTATCAAAATAGGATACGACCTCAAGAGAATGTGCAATCTGAAAATGGGTATAGCCATCCGTGCAAGGAATGCTGGGACCAGGGAGGAGTGTCGAGACTTCATGGATCTAATGCAAAGTGAATGGAGTACTCGCGTAACGAAACTTGCTAGAGTGCGGCTTGCCGAGAGGCAATATAACCTCAAGCAACAGCTGCCCAAACCAGACGATCTAGTGCAAATGAACAACTTTTTAACAAAGGAGTTGAGTAACTTTGATCTCTCTCTGAGTACCCTGGACAACTACAGGACAGCAGTGCAGCTCGTTGAAGCAAAGCTCATCAGCTATAATCGCAGGAGATGCGGAGAAGTTCAAGCTATGAGGTATACTATAGAGCTCCTTTGTTTACTTATTGACATTTATGAGTCGCAGTATTCCATATCAATTTAGCAGTTTGTGCATATTCACTTTTCTTGATCTGAAACCTATTTTCGGAACTTTTCAATGTTTTTCAAGAATGTTTTTCCTGTTGACAATTTGCACTGTGCGTTATGACATTGGGTAGGTTATGTTATTTAAATTCAGTTTATTTATACGTGTACAATGAAATTGCTTGGGTAATACAGTGTAATGTAATACAGGAACAAAGACCTGCCATTTGTCATGACACACCATGCAAATCTTTGTTGCACAGCTCACTGTTTACAATTTAATGAGACATCTCAAATCTATACATATCTTTTGTTATTCTAGACTATGCTCCTACGAACAGAGAAAGTGCGGTGTGAGTGACCTGGACGAACAATTGACAAGGGACCTAACAGACTTCGAGAAACACCTGCTCGAATCGCAAGAGGTTATTGTGATTCGAGGGAAGGTATTATTACGACGTGATAAACATTTTTTTGCAGATAAATATTTCACCTCGGCCTTATGTGGTGAATTCCAATGTTAATATTTGTTTTTATTAGTGTACAAAATATACCAAAGCAAAACAAATCAGTGAAGGGATTGTTGCTTTTTTTTCAAGGGCAAATGGGGGGTATGGAATACTGAGCACCCTACTACATTTCTTGGCTTACGTGCAATAATCTTAGTGTTGATACCCTGTCGACTCACTAAATTGTTTTTAAATGTCCGACGATGAACCTCTCAGATTGTGGTCAAAACTTTCCTGAGAATACTTCAATTTTTCAAAGTCAGTTAGTTTGTAAACTGAAAATTAAAAATTCGGATTCAGTGCAATTGTTATTGCCAGGTAGTGTGGTTATCTCAGTATCAAACACCTTTATGGGATCACATAATCTGAATAAATATATGATTGAATACCAGATAACTTGGACTTTTTTTGCAGACTGGGAGAGGTGTGCCAGTTCTCGTTCCTGCAGAGTGTTCTGCAGTGCTGAAATTCCTGACGGATGCCGAGGTACGAAGAGATGTGGGGATTCACCCGGAGAACAAATACGTCTTTGCTGCCTCTCGTAAGTACATGCATTAGTAGTCTTATACATGTAGTGCTAAATGTAAGCATTGTTGAGCTTGACCGATTGTATAATTTATGTACAGTATGTAGCAGCTGAATATACTGATTGATTCTCTGCAAGTCTTTCCACTTCTTAAGCTCTCATAACTTGCCCATCCATTTTGGATCCCATTGATAGCCACTCACAGGGGTCTTTCCAAGTATTGAGGCACTCACCCCAGCATCAAAACCTGTCTCTTATGGACTAAAGGGGATGTCACAGAACTTGGATTACTTCAATTATACTTAATCAAGGACGACCCCTACTCTGATTGGGCACGCAATTTCCTTAACTGGCAATAGTCTGGAAATGGCTGATGATGCCATTATTTTGAGGATGCTTGAGTAAGTGACCCATCACCGTTTACGACTAAGCCACACCCCACATCGCGTTTTGTCGATCCCAGATTTTGTGAGGTTGCTCCTTGTATGTTTGCATGTTGGAAAATGACATAAAGGATGAACCTTGTGGCAACACCATGGTAATTGACTTCTCTTGAGTTACCAGGTTGAGAGCAGAACACAAGGCCCAACTAGACATTTTGAACTCTGCACTGTGTCTATTGTCTCCTGTTGATAAAAATGAGCACATTGTTTGAAAAGTCTAGTTAAGTCACTGATTCTTATGTTATTCTAGAACTTCCATACTTCATGGGGACGTTTCTTGTGCATGAAAAACTCGGAATAGCCTCTCCAGATGGGAACAGAGATGGAAACACAGCACTTTCCCCAAAATTAGCTTTCAAAGCAGAGGTGGAATGTTGTTTGGAAGTGCTTATTAATTTTCAGCTTTAATATTTTAAATGGCACTGAAGCTAATGATTTTATGAAGGTAAATTACATTTTGGAGAAAAAAAATTGCAACACAAATATTTCTTTTTAACATGTGCAGGCCTTATGTAATGTTATATGATAATAATAATTATATTGCATTAAATGAGATGATGCAACCAAAATTTACTTTCAGGTGGATTTGGAGTAGTCCGTGGTTACGAGTGTCTCTCAAAAGTATGCCAGAGGGCATCTTTGAGTCATCCTGGCCGGATAACAAGTGTGACCCTGAGAAAGTATATGGCAACAATAAGCCAGGTAAGACCCATAAATATTATGTGGAGAAAATTGCACCTGATTTCTCAAAACTTGTGGTAACTCACAATGTGTTGCAGTGCTGTGACGCATCGTATCCTCGCAGGTGTATTTCAAGCACAACACGGTGACTGTTGCAATTTTGTGTTGTGAAGTGTCCCATCGTTTCATTAAACTGGTGCAGGAGCTGTAATCAGCACAACCTAATATGTCGGCATTGTTTTGTTCACCCAAATCTTAAGTGTCCAGTCTATTTTTTTTCGTGAATACCCATATTTCAGGTTGTGAACTTAAGTCGATCAGAGCTTGACTGGGTGTGTGACCATCTTGGTCATACAGTGGACGTTCATAGGACACACTACAGAGCCAGATCAGATGTCATCGAAAGGATAGAGGTTGCGAAGTTGCTCCTTATCCAAGACAAAGGCATTGTCAACCAGTTTGTCGGCAAAACACTCCAAGACATTCAATTCTCTGGTATGTATACCTAATTCCAAACCATAGGTATGAGATAGTACATGTGTTAATTGTAATTACTATACCTCATATATATTCAATCAGGCAACCGTGGCATTGCATTGCATTGGTCCATTCCAGCAACTAAACCCGTTTGAAGGGTTTTACTATTTCCCCGTGTCTTTGTACATGCGCGTGATGCACAAAAACCAAGGAGGTACTACCACACACCTGGGTCGCAGCCTTAGATTTGTTCCAGTACTGTGTAATCTTTTTACTAACAACGCATGCGGGTGACATTTTACACAATAATAATAAATCCAGTGTTTTGTGTGAATAATAAAGTTATTAAATGACACAAAATTAATCTTTCTATTCTGTTTGTCTCCTGAAATGAAAATGATGTTTCAATTTGTCCAAATACTGCATGATCAAAACATGGTTGAATGGACCTATGAATTACCACAGCTGCCTGATGAATATTTATGAGCCTATTGTAAAACAAATACAACATGTTTTTGCAGAGAAATAGTGAAAACAAATGACCCCTCGGTGCTGGATGATTGGGACTACACCTCGGGGTCATTAGTTTTCACTATTTCCCCATAAACCATGTTGTACATGTAATTTGTATACTGAAAAGAAATTGTGTCCTTTGCCCAGCTCCAATTGTGACTTTCGTAACAATCTTTGTATTGCAATGGGCTCGAAGGGTACCAGGTACATGTGATGGCGATTAACATGCTAACGGGTATTAAGGCCTGTTGTCACGCATCCAACCAATTAAGATAAATCCATTGTGCATTTTGTACTAGCACTCAGAATAGTTGTTCATCCTTGCTTGTAGGACCCATGATGTCTGTGTACATGTATGTATCATTTCTTAAATGTCTGATGTTCAGAAACACAAAAGGCAACAGAAAATCGTAAAAAGTAACAGTAGAACACATTGACTATCAGGTTTTGCATACAAATTCATTTTTGTGCTTGCTATATGTGCATGCATAGACACAACATGTACTGCACGAACCTGTAGTGTACATGCCAAAATAAGTGCTGCTTCCAATTACATGTCATTTGAAAATAGGGAGGGTCGGTAGGTAGGGAATATTTTTGGGGAGGGGGGGGGGGGGGGGGGGGAGGGGGAGTAATTGTTTTTGTGTTAATCATAATGTAGGTGTCTGTCTGTAGTCAAAGGTAAAAGGTAGTAATTGAATTTTTGGGGTTCCCCCCCCTCATATTTTCCAAAAATTAGGGTCGGCTGTCAAAAAAAAGGAAGGGTAGGGTTACCGGAAGCAGAACTATTTTATGTTTTTTTTTGCCTTAGCACACACTTTGAACTATTTACACTCTGGAGGTTAATATACATAATTTGAATGTTTCTCTGATTTTTTTTCTTCAATTGTTGAATCATCAGATATTGTCTTTCCACCTGAATCACCTGACCAGCATCACAACCCTCCACAAGCCAGCCCTCCGCAAGCCAGCCCTCTACAAGCCAGCCCTCTACAAGACGGCCTGCTCGAAGGTTTGATGAGGATGAAACAGATGACAGCGAGCGTGAGGAGTTTGATCTGGATGAAGGTATTTATTGAAATTGTTAATAAATAATGAGTCATAAATATCTCTAGACAGATAAGTTGGAAGTCGGTCGTGTGGGGAGCAATATCACTTTATTTATAAGCATAGCCAGAATTAATAAGACCAGTTTTCATCAACTGATACACAATTGTGCACAGTATTATACACAACGGAGATCAATGGGTTTTAATGTGGATGTTTATAAACCACTTTCTTAGGTTTACTTGTCGATGTTTTTCTGCATTTTGAGGCATTGTTATGAGCACCTGTGCACACACAACTAATCAATATCAGTAGCATTGAAGCAAGGCTGGTATTAATGAACTTTGATTTTGGCTTCATCCATTTACTGCGGCATCACCCCTACCTGTTCATTATTATTACAGTAAAGATCAGGCCATCACAACTGTATCCAATTATTCTCTTAAAACGAGTGCTTTAGAACTAGTATTTAGTGATACATACTTGGAAACTGAATACGCTTAAATGAATTCTACATGTACCACTGGAACTGTAAAAATGTCATACAAAAAGGCTACTTCTTCAGGAATTGTCTACTCATTAAAAGATAGTTATGAATCAAAGTACATGTACATGTATTGGAAAATGGGAGATTATAATATAATTTTCTCTTTTTTAATTGGTTCAGTCGTAGCAGCCCCAAAGAAGAAGAAACGGAAGACAGCCAGTGGGTGCAGCCGTCAAAGGTGGGTGCCGGAAGAGGAATTGGAGCTAAAGAAGTACTTTCGGCAGTTCTTCAAATCTGGAAAATGTCCTCGTCAGGCCGATTGTGAAAGGGCAAAGGAGATAAGTAAAAAGAAGGGGGGGTTAATTTGGAAGAGACCCAGAGATAACATTAAGAAGAAAGTAAACAACATGATGATCAATCAGTGAAAAGTTTAATTTGTTAGTGTGTGAACTACAAAAACATCTTTCCAATCGGGTAAATATTTAAAGCCAATTTAAAATAAGTGCCAGTGTTTCAATCTGTCCAGAGTTTTAATGTTATTTTTGAATAATATAGTGGATTTGAGGTGAAGGTAGTTTTGCTTTGCTTTATCTAGTCTTGTTATTTTGTTCACTTAATTTTTTTATTTTGTTGGCAACAATGGTCATTTTTCTTTTCGGAAGTAATGGTAGTCCTGAAAGAACTGTTTGACTAACTCTTAGATTTCTTCTTTGCTGCTTTGTCTCTGCCCTCTGACTTACTTTCACAAATGCAAGTTCCAGTCCTTGTTCTTATTGTGGCTGTCAAAATGTCAGTGGCCATGGACAAAATGAAAAAGCAGTACATTTGTTCTTGTTTTCAATTGGCCGTAACTCAATAAACATTTATCCAAGTTAACAGATTTTTACGCTGTTGAAAGGCTAATGGACTGTACTCTCTAAATATGTACATGTACATGTATAGATACTTGTGATTCATTTTGTCTCGCCTGAACTTTTTTTCAGGAAAGAGACTATGTCTGTACGTATATAGTATGTATGTATGTATCGGGTATGTATGTAGTATTTTGGTCAAAGTTTCGGAAATTGGTCTCATTTCAAATTGGTCTCATTTCAAGGTCATATACATGTACATGTAGCAATGTCAAAGGTCATCTGAGGTTGCGAAAGCAGGTGAGACGCATGGTTTGAGAACCATCTTGTTGTTGAAAGCTGTGAAATAAAGGACGCTTTGAGGGTTCGTTTTTTTCGCAAGACACCGTGTGTTTCTTTAGTTAAGTTGACCAAAATGTGGTTCGTTTTTTTTTAAGTTAAGATTAAGAATCAAAAGATACAAAATGTTGTAAATAAGGGCGACTTTACAGAAGAGTAAAGGTATGACAAAGGTCCACTATTTGATCAGTGAAAGTAAATTGTTATTGCTGTGATTAAACACCTCTGACAAAAAAATGAAAGAACTTGGTTTAGTTAAGAATTCCAAGATAGTGTGCTTACATGTTGAAGGGGTGACTGATATACATGTAGAAGAGACAAATATGGTCAACAATGATGATCAGTAAAAAGTTCTAAATAGTTTCTTAGTTTCTTTGTTTACTTTAATATCTCTTTAAAAAAATGGAAGAAGATTTTACTTCAGAATCCCAGGAAAGTAATGGTCGTAGATAAGAAGTGGTGACTAAAATAGAAGAGTAAGAAGAAGGTGGACAACATGATTTCAGTAAAAAGTCCTAAATTGTTCGTTTTTCTGACCAAAAAAATGAAGGAATTTTAATACTCAATGAGTCTGTTAACCTGATCATCAGTCAGCAATTTCTTTGGTAGACGACATGATGGTTATTGTTAGACCGAAAAAAAGTAATATTTAGATGAACAAAGAAAACAGCCTGGAGCAAGGTTTGAACCTGGGTTGCCTTATCTGTGGAGCTTCCAATTGAACTGTCCTGAACAATAGTTAGATGTATCCCAAAATGTCAACATCCTTGTTCAGAACAAATGATCCAATAGACCACAAAGGAAAATGGCTGCAATTTTGTTTATTTCAATTATCCAGAATAGGGACTGTGACCTATATTCATCCAAAGTTTAGGATCACAGTTGTTTTTGTTTTTTATATGGAGTGGATGGGGCCACCATGGATGCAATGTTTTGGATAGACATGCGACTTAGTACAAGTTTGGGGCCAAAAGAAAGGAATACTATGAGTATTGATCAAAGAAGAATTTCTTGTAAGGATTAATTGTTTCCAAGTTGATCTGTTAAAGCAATCCTATTTCCTGGGCAGTTTTGTTAGGAGCTGTCCTGAATCTGCCAAAAGAGTTCATTGTTAACCCTTGTCATCCCAAATCTGCCAAAACCAACCGCATTGACTAACTGGAATTTGATGGATTCAGGCCAAACTTTGTGCAAAGAATGATATTGGATGACTGCCCGTGTACAATAATAACTTTTTGCAAATTTAGGATAGTTCCAGCAAAACTGCCAAGGACCACAAAGTTTTTGTTGGATTTTCAAAGTAATGCTGTTATTAATAGTTGATGTTCTGCTTGATCACTTGTTGTAATACATACACATGTACTCTACATGTGTATTCTTGTTTAATTGTTGACATTGTACATATGTTCTGGTGAAGCCAGCTGCGAAAAACTCACCGTGTGTGGGTAACTTAGCTACGTGTTGAGCGAAAAAGTGAACTTGCCAATAAAAGCACATCACTCTGTTCACTAGATTTTAAGATGGCAGCCTCAAACAAAAAAAGTGTAGGTGATGTTTTCAGCGACTATATTTTAGAGGACGAGCTGTTTGATTTGTGACCAGATTATCCTTGTTTTTGTGCTGTTTGGTTTCCAATTTCAAAAATCAACCAGTTTGTCCTCTAATATATAGTAACTGCCTCTTTGTTTGGGGACCGCCATCTGGAAATCAGGTGTACAGAGTGCTTTCATTGACTTGTAATTTATTTTAGCTCGGCACGTAGATTGCCTGCACAGAAATGAAACAGTACAGGTACATTGTACATGTATTTAGAAAACACAGGAAAACTGGACCGTACATGTTATCTTAAAGAGCTAGGTGCTAACCAAACAACCAAAAGTAACTTTTTGCTCAGCAGATATTTCTTGTTAGTGGCAAGTTAAAGTACATTGTTTCGTAGTTTATCCGTAAGTCTTGTCTTTTAAGAGTTTGTCATTAATAGGCTAGTTAAAAGTTGGTGTTACCTTCTTAATATGTGTTTGTATGTGATATGATAAACCACACTTCGCTGATTTTCTTTCTCACAGTAATGAACAAATTAGGCCTTATTACACCATTATTTCTTGGACATGTACCTCACTTGTCATTGAACATTATCCGCAGATTTTAATACATGAATACCCCATTATTTCTTGGACATGTACCTCACTTGTCATTGAACATTATCCGCAGATTTTTAATACATGAATACCCCATTATTTCTTGGACATGTACCCCACTTGTCATTGAACATTATCCGCAGATTTTAATACATGAATACCCCATTATTTCTTGGACATGTACCTCACTTGTCATTGAACATTATCCGCAGATTTTAATACATGAATACCCCATTATTTCTTGGACATGTACCTCACTTGTCATTGAACATTATCCGCAGATTTTAATACATGAATACCACATTATTTCTTGGACATGTACCTCACTTGTCATTGAACATTATCCGCAGTTTTTAATACATGAATACCACATTATTTCTTGGACATGTACCTTACTTTTCATTGAACATTATCCGCAGATTTTAATACATTCCCATTATTTCTTGGACATGTACCTCACTTGTCATTGAACATTATCCGCAGATTTTAATACATGAATACCCCATTATTTCTTGGATATGTACCTCACTTGTCATTGAACATTATCCGCAGATTTTAATACATGAATACCCCATTATTTCTTGGACATGTACCTCACTTGTCATTGAACATTATCCACAGATTTTAATACATGAATACCCCATTATTTCTTGGACATGTACCTCACTTGTCATTGAACATTATCCACAGATTTTAATACATGATTACCCCATTATTTCTTGGACATGTACCTCACTTGTCATTGAACATTATCCGCAGTTTTTAATACATGAATACCACATTATTTCTTGGACATGTACCTCACTTGTCATTGAACATTATCCACAGATTTTAATACATGAATACCCATTATTTCTTGGATATGTACCTCACTTGTCATTGAACATTATCCGCAGATTTTAATACATGAATACCCCATTATTTCTTGGACATGTACCTCACTTGTCATTGAACATTATCCACAGATTTTAATACATGAATACCCCATTATTTCTTGGACATGTACCTCACTTGTCATTGAACATTATCCGCAGATTTTAATACATGAATACCCCATTATTTCTTGGACATGTACCCCACTTGTCATTGAACATTATCCGCAGATTTTAATACATGAATACCCCATTATTTCTTGGACATGTACCTCACTTGTCATTGAACATTATCCGCAGATTTTAATACATGAATACCCCATTATTTCTTGGACATGTACCTCACTTGTCATTGAACATTATCCGCAGATTTTAATACATGAATACCACATTATTTCTTGGACATGTACCTCACTTGTCATTGAACATTATCCGCAGTTTTTAATACATGAATACCACATTATTTCTTGGACATGTACCTTACTTTTCATTGAACATTATCCGCAGATTTTAATACATTCCCATTATTTCTTGGACATGTACCTCACTTGTCATTGAACATTATCCGCAGATTTTAATACATGAATACCCCATTATTTCTTGGAGATGTACCTCACTTGTCATTGAACATTATCCGCAGATTTTAATACATGAATACCCCATTATTTCTTGGACATGTACCTCACTTGTCATTGAACATTATCCACAGATTTTAATACATGAATACCCCATTATTTCTTGGACATGTACCTCACTTGTCATTGAACATTATCCACAGATTTTAATACATGATTACCCCATTATTTCTTGGACATGTACCTCACTTGTCATTGAACATTATCCGCAGTTTTTAATACATGAATACCACATTATTTCTTGGACATGTACCTCACTTGTCATTGAACATTATCCACAGATTTTAATACATGAATACCCATTATTTCTTGGATATGTACCTCACTTGTCATTGAACATTATCCGCAGATTTTAATACATGAATACCCCATTATTTCTTGGATATGTACCTCACTTGTCATTGAACATTATCCGCAGTTGTTAATACATGA